CTAAACCTCTGAAATTAAGCAAAAACTTTTCAGCGACAGCACAACTCAACTTGGCCTCTCTGTTTTCATCCAGTAACCATGACCAATATTTTAACTTGATGTATGTCATGACAGAAAATGATACTTCACAAAGCAATGTTGAACCAAACATGGAAAAAGTTTGGCAACTTCAGTTTTCAAAATAGCAAACTAATTCTCTTGCAAGAGTATAACCCACAGTGTCTAAACTGATTCTTTTTTTGATTGATCAAGATGGCTTTGAAGTGTGAGCATTTCTTCTTCAAACAAACATTTGTCCAGGTCCAGCAAATTAACGTGGTCTTGAGAATTATTGATGTCAAACTGAAATGAGTTTTTCATGAATTGAAATGCCAACATGAAGCTTTTAAAATCTGCAAAACACTGGCTGAATTTCATTGCTAGGTTTATAAGCCATCTCACATAGTGCTGACAATCAAGGTCATCACACCCAAATTCACTATCTCTAGCAATTTTCTGCAACTTTGGGAAGTGGGTGAATTCTCCTACCTTCATTTGAATGACGGAATAGCTGTAGAGCTTAGAAGTGAACTCCAAAATCTGCTTGGCCACATTACAAAAAACCTTCCCCTTTCAGATTTAGCTCATTGAAATGAAAAAAGATATCAGTCAGGAACCACAAATCAAATTGCCACTGCTTATCTTTAATAGGAAAGCTGGACAGTATTTCTGCTTTCTCAACAAGAAAGTCTTTGATAGAAGTAACTAGTTCAAGGAACTGCTGAAGCACCTTGCCACGATTCAGCCATTACACATTAACAAAACATATGATTTCAGAATGCTCAAATTTGATTTTTCAAAAATTCCATAACTTGGCAATAGTTCAGAGCACTGCTGCGAATGAAATTCACAATTTTGATTTTCAGAATAGACAAATCCAGAATTTTTTCCCATCATAGCTAGTGCATCATCGGTTCTAACAGAAGCCAATTTTGCTAAATACAAGTTGAAATCATTTGAGATACTTTTGAAAGCACTGAATATACCAGATCCATAGGTCTGATTCGATCTCGCAACCCATATACAGAGCAGTTTTTTTATGAATCTGGAAATCATGTTACAAAATGAATTCAGAAGATGAGCTGAGAAACATAACTGATGTCATAAGACTCAATCAGTGTTTGACCTACTTATTGGCACTAAAGTTCAACTTGCAACTGGGTTTTCAGATCAATGGACAAATCTTTCAACCGACGGGCAACTGTTTAGTGACTTAGCTGAAAATTTTGAAGGCTCTGTAAAATGTTTTTTGCATCTGTTCATTATGATTTTCAAGCAATGTTTTCAGGACAGAAAATATTTTTTTCCATCATTTCTCCGTCTATGAATGACTTCTTGCTGCAGATATCCACACTGCTTTACAGCTGGCCAAAGTTACCAGTTCAGATGAAGATAGAAACCACTTCAAAACCTTCTACTACTTTTCAAAATCCAATTTCAGCTGACCAATTTTATCAGCTCATTCTTTACTTCCAATATGATACACTGGATTGAAATCACTGTGCTGCCTTTGGAAATGCCATCTTACATTGTCAGTCTTATTTACCACAATGCAGGAAACTGAAGCACTGTACAAACTCCTACATATGGCCACTATTGGAGGCCCCGAATCAGTCCATGCAGGGTAGCTTGCAAGGAAGGCCTGGCTATGGACTTCTCCTTATCTGCCAACGAGAATGCCTGTCTCACCTCTTGGGGAAATAAGTCCTTGAATTTCAACAAGGAGTTCCATATGCTGAAGTCTTATGTACCCAGCAGAGCCTACTGGCTAGTGAATCTATGCTGCAGTTTCTATCAAAAATGTCTTGGTATTTTTGCCTTAAGAGATGCCTTTTGCAGTTTCTGCCTTCCCTCTGGTTGTCTGTGGATACCACCAAGGATCCTGAGGGGACGGCATGGGATGAGTGTATAGGAACTCATAATCCAAGGATTTCCTCTTAAGCTTTTTCATGTGGAGGGGAAGAGAAGTAGGGGTTACCCACAGGGCTTTCACGGAATCCGCAATGGCCTTGCTGAGAGGCAGGGCTCCTCTTGACAGGTCCACTGATGCCAGAATGTCAACCAGGCTATGGGAGAATTACTTTACCTTCATCTGTAAGTTTAAGGCCACCTTCCTCAGCTGCTCCTGATAGACTTTGTAGTCATTCTGGGAACGCAACATGCCTACCCCGTCAAAGAAGTCTGGCACTAGCTGAGCCACTTCTTTCCCTTCTGCACCAATAGGATCCCAAAGAGCCAGTTCCTGAAACTGAGTTTAGTACTAGAATCTGGATTTTGTACCAAATAGCAACATCTCAAGTGGAGAACTAGTATTAGAAGAAATTCCTACAAACTCTAAAAAGGGCCACTCCAACTAGTACCACCGAGGGGAAAATTTCCAGTGACCATGTTCGGGGTGCACACAAATCTTCAGTAGAATGCACATGTACAAACATCCAAAGAAGAAAGCAAGTCTGGTCACTCTGGATTCTGTCTATGCAATCCAAATGGTAAGATATATCTTCTGTCCTCACACAAATCAAAAAAGTTAGCCACTGATGCTACACGATACTATCAAAAAGGGCAATCACCTTCCAAAGTTAAAATAGGGGCAATTCCACAGTTACAGACCAGGATGGGAGGAACACCTGAAAGAAATAAATATCAGCATATCAACAGCCTTACCTTGATCCTCCAATTCCCTGTCAACTTTCTTGTAGAAAGTGTTAAGCAAATTAAAGTTGCCTCCAACCACAAGTCCTGCACCAGAAAACCAATTTCCCCATGATACTTGATACCCAAGGTATGTCTACACTGCAACTAGACACTCACTCCGGGATCAGAACATCTACACCACAGGCTAAGGCCTGGCCTCCAAGACTCCCAAGTTGGACACACCTGGTTGGCCGGTGCCAGCTAATTGTAGTGTAAACACCCACAAGGGCTTGTTGAGATTAGGAAAATTTCACCTACATGTAGTTATACCACTGCAATCCCTCAATATAGACTCTCCATATTGTGAAAAAGAGGGCTTACAAATGATAGCTTACTAGAGGAGAAGTTATACAGGTGGAGTCAATGTACAACAAGGTTTTTACCAGTGTAACTACATTAATGAAGTAAAATATCACTAAGATAGGAGTGACTCAAACTTGCAGGCTACGTCCTACACTGCAGACTTCTTGCACAAGTATTGTTTTGCGAGAGTGCTTGTGCAAAAGGTCTTCCACGAGAGCACATTCACACTGCCATGTGCTTTTGCACAAGAGCATCCATGGCAGTGTGGACATTCACTTGCGCAAGACAGCTCATAAGGGTTTTTTGCGCAGGAAATTCGTGTTGCTTATCTACACTGCCTTCTTGTGGAAGAGCTCTTGACAGCAGTGGTTAAAACTTTGCTAATATAAAACAAAGTGAAGCTATGAGCAGGAGGCAGGCCCCTGCTCACAGAAGTTATCAAGAACAGGGCTGATATTACTGAAACACTCCTATCTAAGAGGTACTAAGGACAGACCATAAGCACATTCCAGAAGGGTTGTAACAGAACACCTCATGTAGAAACGTCTTGGTACCAATATACACCTCCCTCCCCCGGGTCTAAACTGACAGCAAGATAGTGATTAAACACCCATGTACGAGGTAATGGGTGATAACTATGCAACAGGAAGTGGCAATCTGGCACAGTAGGAGTGATGTATAACTTGTTTGTACCTGAGTATAAAAATGTACCCCAAAGAATTGTCTTTTTCTGACCTAGGAGACAGTGGTGAATCCCATGCTACTGACTGAGTCCATTGTAATGAGCATACATATGTTAGCCTAACAGTTGATATCTAATCCACAGAACTTAAGAACGTGCTCCGTCTACAAAAATCTGTCCTGGTACCTTCGATCTTCATCTGGTTTTTTGGCTTTTGAGAGGCTCTCTTGGAGTCTGCTATAGTTGCATAAGCCAACATGACACACAGAGGTCTGTAATACATGGATGTATGTTCCAATCCCTCATCTTACTACAGCATCATATTTTCTGTTAAAATGGTGTGTCTTTTGTGTAGCCAAGTCCTAAAATTCTGCATCTCATTAGATCAGTGGTAAGATTACTGAATTCTATATGGAGAAATTATATCTGTGCCATCAGTGGAAAAAGCTTTATTTAGATGAAGTTCCAGTTTAATATATTCTGAGTTCTCACATGAGAAAACATCTTCTTTAATCATGACAAAATTAGAAATTCATTTCTCTTATTTGCAAGGTGCTCAATATATTGCACAACAGAAGAGAAGTTTAGATACAAGGTATATAAACAGTCAACATTGTTATAGAAAACAAAATGCATACATCAGATTCTGCTTAGAGGACAACTTAATACATCCTTCAAGAAGGGCAGAAGTCCAATCACATATCATAATACTACTGCATATGCCCAGTGCAATTGACCGCACTCAATTTTTATGCAGTGTGAAGAACTAAACTTGCAGACTTCCTGCTACATTAAGATGTCTCTACTCTGCAAATACACACACACAAATTAAAAAAATAATTCTGTTTGTGACCTTTATTAATCCTTGAATTATACTTATGCTTATGAATACTTCCTGATCTCCCACTTATCTGAAATACATTAACTTTAAAGAAATAAATCTGTTACAAACTGGTATCAGTCCTATGTATTCACACAAAGTGCTGAATAAAGATCAAGAGTTAAACTGACACTTCAAGTACAACTCAAGGACTATTTCTAAATGTTGGAGCTTCTAAGAGGTAATGCACTTGATTGCCTTGTGAGAAACAAAATATTTTTCATTATTTTACCAGGTGCAAGGAATGGTTAGTAATGCCACCAGGCTCAACTAAACAATATTTATCAACTATTATTGTAGACTGCAAGGGAAACTAAGGCTGTTAACTAAAAAAGTGTGTACACCTAATGCACCCCCTGCGCACACACCCCAAAAAAACCACACATTACCTTTTTCAAAGAATTTTTTTTAGTTAACTTTATTTTTTTACAGCTTATTTAAGTGCCTCATCTCACAATCTTTTACAAGTGAAGTCTTCCAGTGAGTTCAACATCTGCATGGCTGAAGTAATACTTGTTTGAATGTAAATTGCAGGACATTGTACTCAAAAGAAATTTTGAAATAGCTGCATTACCGGCACCAGAAAAATTTAGCTTAAGTGCAATATTATTATGTCAAATTCTTAGCAGAAGACATTTTCTTAAAATAATATTAACATTTTCTTAAATATCTTGCCTCAGAGATTGACTACCTCTATTTCAGAAATATAGTGGCCTCAAATGAAATACCTTCCTATTACTGGTACAGATTTCTGAATCTTAACATTTTTCTCTACCAAATGATTGTCATTTTACATTTAAGACAAATGTTTATCAAGGGCTGCCTTCACCAAGCATCATCTATTACAATCATCCTTAAATAATGTCAAACTGGGTAGTTCAAAGATGGGGAACCTTTTTTGGATCTATGCCCACAGATAGTCTGTAGGGAGTGCTTTCCTACAACACACAGACATTTTCTTCTCCCATCAGGCAGAGCACATGGGTCATATCCTGCCTTGATTGGGGTCCTCAGAACCTCATGGGTTGGATCAAGGCAAGATGCAGGTCAGACCTTAGGTTTCCCACCCCAGGATAGTTTCTCATAACAAAATACAAGGGCAGGTCAGCAATTACACTGTCCAAACACCAGCCTAATTATCTGACTAACTTTTGCTTTAAAATCTCAAAGCAGAACTCCATATTGTCCTGTAAATCTGACTTGCCTACTAAATCTTAAATGTGCTCTTTTCCAATTAGCTCATTTTATTTTTAGGACATTCTTATAGTAATGGATTACACTGGGAAGGCGTCAGTGGTTCCATATAAACTTCAATTTAGCTGAGATGATTTTACATGCCTCCTACAACATTATACCACACACACTCAAATGGTAGAATTGACTCGCTGTTGATTTCTATGTTGAGAAGGGTAAATTCTTCGTTTTACTTCATCTTACTTCATCAAGAGTCAAATGCAAATTTCCAGTTAGTAATAACGACAGTTGTGTGTTCATTTCCTCTAGATTAAACTGTGTCTTCATAGCTTTAAAATCAAACAAATTTTAATGATTATGTAAGAGGGTTGAAAAATAGCACTTTAGTTTCAAATTATTTTAAAGAGAGTCAGCCTTTCCCAGGCTAAATTATGCTATATGTTGTCAGACATAGTGTATCTAAATAATTTCATTCACTTCCTAGAGTGATTTTTTTTCTAGTTCTAAAATAACATGAGACTAGATAACGAGAAATCTGACAATTACATAGCATGAAAAATACACACCTGAAGTAAAACAAGACAAAATCCACTCTCTCCTTGCCTACTAAGAAAACTAGTTACAGTAAAACTCCATTAGTCTGGCATCCAATGCTCCGGGACTCCTGATGGTCCGGCACCATCAGGAACCTGGAAGTGCTGGGGCAGCCGGACAGGCTTCCCCCATTCAGCTGCTGCTGAAACTGACCAGCAGCTGAAACGGGGGCCCCCGGGGGCGAGGAGGCG